CCAATCTTGGATCATAAAAGGCATCTTTATTGGCCACCAAGTGTGACTTGCAAAAATCCACCACTTCCTGCACCAAATCATCATGTATAATAACTAATAAGTGTTGCACAATATTACAATAAGCATAAAACCATGAAGTTTTATTTTTTAATATCAAATATACTAATTAACTTTTACATTTTATGAATGATTTATTTTTTAGTTTTATTTTTTGTCATTGGTTTTTAAATTGAATTAATTTTTGGTTTATGACTATATATAAGGTTTTATTTTAAATGTCTTATATTTGAAGGAAAAAAAAAAAAGGAAAAAAAAAGTGTAGTATACATGTGAAATAGCCCAAATAATATAATTAAAGGAGATGTTACGATCCCGTTACGAAACCATTCCGTCGGGGTTTGTAATCAACCATCCTCGACGATTACTTGATGATCTAACAGTTACAAATCCTGACGGAATTGTTTCTAATGAGACCGTAGCATTTTCCTGTTAATTATATAAGGAAATTGGAAATGAAATTGACCTCATCAATGTCACACATTATAAGTTTTTCCACAGTCCAATGTCTGAGTATTTCTCTAGCAGTGGAACCTTCACCTCCCCCCATGATGAAAATGCTCTTTGGACTGAATAGAATGCAATACCATAGTAAAAATAAAATTAATCATAATTTTTTTAAAAAAATTGTCAAAATATATATAGAATGACATTTTATTAATTAAAGTTATAAAAAAAAAGTACTTTGGATGATTTAAAAGTGGTGGATGCACAAGTGACTCATGGTATATGAACTCATCTATCTCTGCACTTTGAAGCTTCCCATCAATTACTAGAGCCTGAAATTCACATCAATTAAATAAATAATTAAAATGGTGAGAAGCTACATAGTAATGTAATTAATTAGTTAATTAATTTATTATTGTTATTATTATTATTAATTTGATCAAGTTGTTAATTTATTGTACCTTTCCAAAGGGTTTGGTGTCCAAGAGCTGGATGTCTTGGTACTGAGAGGCACTTGTGTGCAATATACTGCACCAATAAGAAAAAAATAAAAATAAAAAGAAATTACTAACAATATACATATTTTTTTTAATAAATATGCATAATTTGAAATCAAATTTCATACTCTAAAAACAATATTTATATTAAAAATAATATGATATTTCGCAACGTATTATACGTTTCTTGCAACAATTCTCTACGTTGGGCCAACCGTTCTTCTTCTCGAACGCCGTCGGCTCACAAAAGAATTTGTGATACTCTTTTATTCTAAGTTGTATTACATTTTTCCTTTACTTTCATTTAAAAATAGATAATCCAATTAGAAATACCTAAAAACAATTAGAAATAATTAAAAAACTATAGATATATATAGATTAATTACCTCTTGAGTGCAAAACACCACCTCAAATTCTCCTCAATCTCTTCCTCATACCAACAACTCTTTCTTTGAACTCCAACTCTAATATTATTGCCATTGATATGATTCCCATTGGAGATTGAAATATCCCCCATTTTTCTAACTTTGGCTTATTAAAAAACTTTGAGAGAGAGAGAGAGAGAGAGAGAGAGAGAGAGAGAGAGAGAGAGAGAGAAGTAGGCTTGAGGGATGAACAAAAAATGAGCAAGGAGAGGGTTAAATATAAGAAGGTAATTTTCGTCACATGAATTTTCGTCACTGTTCGGCAGATTTCTTGTAGTTAATTAAGGCATGGGAAACTAGAAAAAGCATTATGATTGAGGTATGGTGTGGGATCATAATAAGGTATAGAGCAAGTGTGGGTGATTTTATTGCAAGTGAAGTAAAAGGAATGTGAGAAAAAAAAGACATGCACACCACAATCTTCATGGATTTTCTCAACTCATCACTTCCAAGATAAAAAAGTTTTACTATTTTATTGTTATATTTGCTATGTGCTTGCGGTTTCTTAGGTTGATCTGATGATATCCTCGCGTGGGTTCGCGGTTGGTTGTCTATGTTTGGGACATTGATTCATTATGTAGACAAGGCACACGACAGTTATTATATTTAGTTTTAAATTTCATATATTATAATCACAAATTCATGCATGAGTTTGGATAATTGGTGGGTGTGTTGATTGGTCATTTTTTTTTTTTTTTTTGAATAAAAATACATATTATATGTTATGAAATGTCAGACTTTTGTTTATGTTATTTTTCAAAGTGTGAATTAGACAGGCCATCATTATTCGAGCTTTGGTCACCCGGAGTCTCCTCAACTCGACAAAAACAAAAATAAATCGAAGAGAAAAGTGCGAGCACTAAAGCCCTAGGAAATTAAATTGAGCCTTCTACCTAAATGATCAAGCTTTCAACAAAGTCTAAACGTTTAACATAAGATAAGCACATGTTCAACTCTAAATTCACTTAGACAAGCAAGAAAAATACAATAACAATCACAACTTCACTCAAATTCTCAAGCAAGACACTAAATTTACTTTGAAAGCTTCATGAGTAAAAACGGATCAATTACGAAGAAGTGAATCTTAATACTAAGTTTCACTCTCCTATTGCATGCTCAAAGAAGATCAAAGTAAAAAGCTTGATACTTCAACAAAAAATCGAGCCTAAACACAAAATCCCGGCCAAGACATCAACTTCACCTTGAATAACTTCATAAGCAAGGACCAAAAATCAATGTAGTAAGTCCTAAGCAATGTACTTACTCTACTATTGTGATCTCAGGTGAAATTAATGTGAAAAGTCAAAATTTTACTAAAAAATGGCATCGCAGGAAAAACTCGAGTCTTGGAGCTCCAAAATGAAAAATAGAGACAAAAAAAATATGACGGAGTATTTCCTAAAGTGAAAACTAAATAAATGAGGTCGAGATACTACAAATGCAAATTTGGGAACAAAAGTATTTATACTAACACCTTTAACACAAACTAGAAAAATGCACAATTACTCAAACACACTCGCTAGCTAAGGTTTTTAGTAGAAAATTCACTAGGCGAGTGCGAACGATGTCGGTTGGGCGAAATGTTCGTCAAATGTGCAGGCGAGTGTTGTATCAGGTCTCTGCGGGCGCATGGGCAAAATGCTTGCTGGGGCAAGGCGCTGGCAACTGCGCGGAGTGCTCCACTTGGGCGTGGCGCTTGGCGAGTGCTACGGAGGGCGAGCTATGCGCGAGATGTTCATGCGAGCGCGCGAGGCATCTGGCGGGTCTAGCGTGGGATGCTCGCACGACGAGTGGTAGGCGAGTGTCTGCGAGTGGGTCACTGGGCAAGGCTTCTAGCTAGTGCGTAGAGGGCCCGCGTGGGAGAGCGGGTCGCTGGACACGTCTGTGCTCGACAGCAGCACGTGATCCTCGGCAAACGCTCAAATTTTTGTCGGGCAACAGCGAAAATTCCCGACAAAAATTCCTCGGGCTCTTCTCATTATTCTTGAAATTAGTGGGAAACTTATGCTCACATGCTCGGAAATGGACGAAGATGATAAGTGATCTATTTTGACTTGTGCGCTTGGGACTCAGCTCAATTACTCCTCTTTTTGAACATTCAAACAAAAGGGCCAACAAAACACCAAAAGACACGAGAAAGCACAACAAAACACAAAACGAAAGTAAAAACACACGAAACTAACTAAAATATATCAGTCAAACAAGAAAATGAATATAGAAATGACTCGACTAAATACATAAAACACATAAATATAAACACACAACATAACAAAGGAGGGAAGAATCTTAATATGATGGAAAGTATAGATTGCTAAGGAGAATTGCCTGTATAGAGACGTGGTAAGGGTAAGTTAGACAAGAAGATCTTATTAGATCTCTTGTCTAACAATGATAGTCTTGGGCATCAAGCACTCACCCTATATAAGGGTATCCAATTCTGTGTTAATATCTATCGTATATTTACGCATTAAATATATACTTTTCAGTTAATTATCTTAAACAAGTTTTTACTTGAGCCTCAGAGTGTCTACGCCAAGACCCCCTCCCGGCACATTGCAAGTCCTCGGAGCTCAAGGCGAGAGGAAGTTCGAGGATTGATCGGTTCAACCCGGTCCGTGACAAATTGACACATCAGAGAGAGTGATAATACTAATAATTATTCTTTTTTTTTTTCTCCTTCAACAAACTTGTGCATAATCTTGGTTAGAGAGAAAGAGGGGCGTGCCATAGATTTCATCATTGTTCATATATACACTCATACCCATCAAACCAAATCATCACCATCATCTTCATCCATTCTACCAATATATAGATATATAATATTTGTTTAAAAAAAAAAATTGATTATAACTTAATACTACTTCAAATTACATTCAGAGAATTGTTAAAATTTGGATTATAACTTAATACTACTTCAAAATTTATTCATTTATAACTTAATACTACTTCAAAATTTGCAGGCAACAATCATTGACTTGGTTGCTCACATCTCAATTAAACTAATTTAAGCTATATCCCAAATGTCACCTATATACTGGGCTTGATGGGCCCACTTATATTGAGCATGTGATGTTCAAATGTACATCAGAATGATGGGATCATGCATGTATGACGCATAAATATATGCAAAAGGCCCATTAATAAGAGCATGGGTATTATTAATGATGTTTGTGTGTGGAGTGAATTATACAGTCCAGATTTGAGAAACAAAGCGTGATCACAAGAACAAGGATTTTGTAATGGGGAATCATAATTTGAACCCACTTCCTTTGTCAAAGATCATGATGTTTTTTGTATGGTCCAATAGTTCAAATCTCGAGGTAGATTTGTAAATATTAAATGTAAGGGGAAATGGGGAAATGTTAAGGTGCCGTTACGGAATCATTCCGTCGAGATTTGTAGTCGTTAGATCGTCATGTAACCGTCAAAGATAGTTGATCTAACGATTACAAACCCCGACGAAATAGTTCCGTAACGGGACTGTAGCATCTTCCCAACTTTTGTTAATTATAAGGTTCTCTTTTCATCTTTTCGTTTTGAAACTTTAGGTTGAGTTATAAAACTTTTGGCAATGTATCTAGGCGTTCTTACATGTTAATTGTATTGAGAATATAATATTTTAGGTTTGACATTTCATATTTTTGTAGTTTGAAATACTTTCAAATGACAAAGACTAGATTAGTGTAATATCAGATAAAATGATCTCATTATTTATGTTAACTAATTTTTTAGTAATATTTATATTTTAACACTACAAGAATGTAGATGAAATTCCAATGGAAATTAATTTCAATAGAAATATATTCCAATTGAAGTCCAACAACAAAGCCAATGGATATTTCAACGCTATTATTTCCGTTGGTATTTTTCAATGGATTTCAACGAAAATTCCGACAAAAGTATTCTGTTGGATTTTAACGATTCCAACGATACATTTTCCAACTGTTGAAATATGGGTGAAAATAATAATTCCAACGGAAATTTAACCGTTGGAATAATAGCTGTTAGAATGATGAAATTTCATCTAAATTCCAATGGAAACTCATTCCGACGAAAGTTATACCATTGAAATAGCTATTCGGCGACCGCATGGGAGCGTACAAAACCAGGGACGATCCGAGAAGATAGCTAATCGGCGACCGCATCGGAGCAGCTTCGATGGCAATGGAGACGGTGAGGCGACAAGACAACTAGCAACGAGGCAATATATTCCATTTTCGATCTCATGGAGGAGGGATAATTGGGTGCCGATCTGGCCGTCGGAGACGCAATCAATGGAAAACGGCAGCCGGAGTTGGTGGGAGAGCGCCCGAAGGGGGGGACTTGGTCGATGATGGCCAGGAAGACGATGATCGTTTTGGATTGGAAAAAAGGATACTGCTAAGGTCTCGTTACGGGATAGTTCCGTCAGTGTGTTTCACCATTGGATACACATATAGATTATTTTTGTGGATAATCTACGGTAACCAACATTGACGTAACCATTCCGTCAACGTGACTGTAGTAGTTCCCTAAAAAATAATAGGCTTTCATAATTGGGCTAAAGAAAATGAGCGAATCGGCTTTTTTTTTTATTACAATTGTTGGTTGCTGCTTTGGACGGGCCAACCCGCATAGCCTGCGGCCCGTGGCCGGGGTGGGTAAATGGCCCCGCCCCGCCAAATGACGGGTTTTGGCGGGTTGCAGGCTGGTCCGCGCCGCCGACCCGTTTTGACATGTCTATAGTCCAATGGGAGCGAAGAAAGCAAAATTAAGAAGAAAAATGAAGACCAATTTTGTCAATATTTTAATAATTTAAATGCTAACAATGATACTATTGTTGATTCGTTGCAGAAGGCTGAAGAACGCCACCGTGTCCAGCTTCAATTGTAGAAACAACAACTTGATTTGCAGAAAATGAGGGATGAAGATAAAATTTGATGATAGATTTGAATTTCCTTACGAATCGCATGATACGTCGACATTAGGAACACAAACAAATACAAATTTTACAAGAAAGAGATATTGCGCAACAACAATCTCAAGCAACACCATCATCATCTAACACGGGTCAATTTGGATTTCTAGACGACATAGGGCATGAGAGGAAATTTGAATAATTATTATGGTGACAATTAAGCTTATGAAATTGTCTATTTTATAAACCCTTTTAGTTGTTATGTTCCTATATTAATAGTGTTTGAACCGTTAATTTTAAGTGAGTTGAATGTTTTTCCTTATTTTGTAATTTTTTAACTTTTTTGTTTGAAATAATTATTTAAGTGAATTTAAATACTAATTAATATTCTTACATATTAATTAATAAAGTATTCAATTTTTCATTATACTACTTAAAATTCTATCATATTAGTTACAATAATTAAGTTTAAAACATTTATAAAATATTTTAATTTAACTTATAAAATTAATCCATTCATTCATTCAACCCAACTGTAGTTAAAAAAAAGCCCAACCACAATACATCTAAATGGGCCCAAAGTACAACCCAAGTTAAAAATAAAATTAAAAGAAAAAAATGAAAAATCTGTTAGCGGATGAACAGTGGAACGGTGTGCCAACCGTTCCACAAAACTCGTTTGCCATTTCCTGCAGAAATAGAAGGTCTGAGATGAATTATCTCCAACCATGCAGTTTCCGCTGAGTATAGAGAAGGGATTGGAGATGCTCTTACAACAACAACAACAACAACAAAGCCTTTTAGTCCCAAACAAGTTGGGGTAGGCTAGAGATGAAACCCAATAGAAACAGTAGTTCAAAAAAAAAAAAAGGAGCAAAAGAGAAAGGAGCAAAAGTCACGGTTCCGGCACGTTGATCGCTAGTCTCCAAACGCTCCTATCCACCGCTAAATCCCTGGAGATATTCCAATCTTTAAGGTCTCTCTGAACCGACTCTTCCCAAGTGAGTTTAGGCCGACCTCTACCTCTCTTAACAACATCGACCCACTGTAGAACTCCTCTGCGCACCGGTGCATCAGGAGGCCCCCGTTTGACATGTCCGAACCACCTCAGCCGATGTTGAACCAATTTCTCCTCAATTGGGGCCACCCCGACCCTATCACGAATATCCTCATTTCGGATTCTATCTCTTCTTGTGTGCCCGCAAAACCAACGCAACATCCGCATCTCTGCTACACTTAGTTGTTGGACATGTTGCCTTTTTGTAATAATACTAGGATAATATCCGTGTAATACACGGGTGTAATACACGGGTGTTAAGTTAAGATATATATGATAAAATTTATTGCTAAAATAATTTTTTTATTTAAAAATTTTGATGGACTAATTGATAAAAAAAAAAGAATAGAGAATGTAGAAAGTAATTTGTAAATCGTAATTTAAGAGATAAATACGAGAGAAAATTATAATATGGTAAGATTGCTACTTGCCCAAACTAAGAAAGAAATGTGTACTAAGAGAAAAAAAGTACCAAAATTAAATATACACTTACCAAGTTTGAAAAAAAATTATTTATGTCTAATACGAAACCTAACTCCAGAGCAAAAATGAATATATAAACAAAATTACGAAAGCGTAAGTTCTCGTCATGTGAGCATCCGAAACATAAATATATGACACTATAAGCTTTGAAGTGAGGGATAAGGAGGATAACACTCACCAATAGACTGTAGTTCGGAAAATGGGTATGGTGGTCTTAGCCCGGGTAACCGGTCGAAGTCTCATAACTTGGTATCTTGGGAATGAGCATGAGACCTCATATATATCTGATTAGGTTTGCTCATTCTCAGTGATTAAGAGATGGCATCTCTCGAAGCTCTGGAGCAGGATTTTCGTCTTATAGATTACAGTTTCCGCACGTTTTGTGCAGCTCACGGCATTTTCACTGGTCTGTTTTTTCCTTGCTTATATTGGCTTTTCATTTTCAACAATGGCGGATAATTATAATACTGGGTCATTTTCCATTTCGATTCTGTTGAGTGTCTGAATTTACAAGTTCTCGACCCATGTTCGAGAAACATAAGTTCTTCATCTTTCCCTTGATTGCGCATTTGGTTGGCCATTTTTTTAGAGGTTTTCTGCCAGTTTTATTAAATCCATTTGAATCTGACATTGTGGCATTATGTTTTGCATACGAGAGTGAAGTTGGAAGTATTATAATATTCTTGATTGGGTGGAGAATTATGAAATGAGGAATGTAATTATGGCTAAGAGTTTTTTAGTGAGCACAGGTAGTCTTGAATTTCACTACCATGGTGGTAAGTAACTCGAAGGGGCATCGCATTTGTCTTTACATGAACTTTAGATTATCGAGAAAGCCCCTTGAGTTGTTAGTTTAAACTGCTAGATCTTAAGTTCGACATCCCTAAATCCAACCATTGCCTGATTAAGTCGCTCGGTGACATTTCAAGCATTTTGCGGGTCCTAAGTCTAGAATTATGGATGATTTTTTTTTTTTGGTTTATCTTGTTTTCTCGTCTCGTTTTGCAGTTGAAGATTTTCTTGTGCATGATCTCTATGAACTAGAAACTTTTGCTGAACGAGACTGTAAGCAGGAAAAGTTGAAACAGGTTAGCCAGTTTAGCTGTTGAAGAAATGTATTTAATTTTTCTTATAGAATCAAATGAGTGCTTTTGTTTCTGGGTTGTTAGGGAATTAGACAAATGGTCTCTATATTAGAGCATAAGCATAAGCCTTGGTTAAACGGTATGGAGTTATTAGAAGATGCCGAAGTCAACAGTTGCACTCTATCGACTGGGTGGGAAAGGTGCCACAGACAGTGCTGCATAATAACTTACTATAAAATGTGCTTCTTAATTAATGGATCATGACATCCTTTTTTATTAGGATTGATGCTCTTCTGCAAGGAGGCTTACGTGTGGGACACATAACGGAGCTAGTTGGGCATTCATCCTCTGGTAAAACTCAAGTAAGAATCTCTTAGATAGCGAAATAAGCTCTGGAGAAGATTTTTGGGCCTCTTTCTGGTTTTTAATTTTGGAACAAACAAATTATCGTGGCTCCCATTTTTATTTTTCTTAACAGTTTAACTTGATAGGTTTGCCTTAAATGTGCGTCACATGTGGCAAGCAGCTATTCGGGCATGGTGATGTTCTTTGACACGGGCAACTCATTCTCAGCAAAACGTATTGCACAATTTCTCAGTCTAACAGGAGCTGCAAATATTGAGGTAAATGCTTAGTATTTAAAATTGTATTCCTTTTGGACCTTAGCGTGAACACTACTTTTGAAGTGTTTAAGCAGAAAGAAGTTCAGGGAGTCTTGCATATTGCTGCATACACTCACCATGTGCTTTAATTCACTTCAGTATGACTAGGTTTTGAATAAAAAATTGCACCACATGTTTTATACAAGTATAAGTAACTGTATGACTTCTGAGACAATTATAATTCTGGTAAAGCCATGGATATCTTTGTGTATGATATTGTTAAACATAATCAGATATATATTTGGGTAAACTTTTTTTTTTTAATTACAGCTCCTGAAAAATTATTTCTTATTTGATATTCATGTTCCTGCAGATAAAGAAGAACGTTCAACAGGTAATGAGCAGCATAGTCTGCCATTCGATATTCGACATGTTCACTCTCTTGGACATGCTTCGTCAGCTGAAGAATAATTTGACATCTCAGGTTTTCAATCTCTCATTTAAATCTATTTCCTCTTTTAATCTCTATATCTCCTGTTTTCTTAAGCTTGTTAAATTTTCTTTCGAGTTAATCTGGAAATATATTTATGTAGGTCGGTTGCCGGGTCAGGATGCTTATAATTGACTCTCTTTCATCACTTATTGCTCCGATTCTTGGAGGTGGTGGTGCACATGGTAATTCTGTAGAAATATGTTTCAATTATTTAGTGCTCGCTAGGAAATTTAGCTCTGTGTTTAAACATTGATTATTTGCTTTCCTACCGCTTGGATTCGTTATTTTCCATGTGGTTAATGGTTTTGGAGGACAGTCATTATCCTCACTCACGAACTATTATATTCAATCAGCTGAGTTCATCATGAATCTTCTCCCTGTTCAAATTGGCAATAAATTGGTTAGGAGCAATTTAGTTGCTCGATAAATTATGGGGATTAGATCATTGAGATTGTTTTGGCATGATATACATCTGTCTAAACTATATTTGTATTGACAAGGTAGATAGTTTCATTTAGTTCAGGTTGTGTTTGTATTTATCTAAGCAATTATTCCTCATTTGCTCAAAACGATAAGTAAATAAATTAGAAGAAGCGCAACTCATATTTATGGTATCGAAACCTATTGCCTTTGTGGCTTATATATACAGGACACGCTCTAATGCTCACTGCTGGATTCTTGTTGAAGGAGCTTGCAAATGAGCATAACCTTTCTGTTTTGGTAGCTGCTTTTATCCTTTCTTTTGTTCTTGCAAGTATGAAACATTTCCTATCTGTAAATTAATTTCTCAAAATGTTTCCGAAAATTTGATCAGTCAGCACTTGAATGCAGCCTTGAATTTAATATCCCATATGTTGACTTCTGAGGCAAAGCTACAGATTCCCAGTTAATTTGATGGTGTATTTGGAGTGTATGGCTTATACATTGTTCTTAAGAAGTGAGGAAAAGGATTACTTTGTGTAAATGTTGTGTATTTATTTGGGTTGAAGAGATAAATAGCTCAAGGTAGAATTTTATTTGGAAATTTAACGGCCAATGTCAAACTACAGATGGAGTCTTGATTTGAAAACTCGTCTATAAATGACTGGGAACATTGTTCCATGTGTAATCTATGTTTGGTGGCATATCCATGAGAAATATATATACTCCTATTGTATTAAATGATACAAATGACTTATGTCTCAGGTGACTAACCATACGGTGGCTGGAGAGGCTGGTATGTGTAAACCAGCATTGGGCGAGAGTTGGAAGAGCATTCCACATGTTAGGCTTCTGCTATCCAGAAACCGTGCAACCAATGGTAGCCGCATTTCGATACTTAAACACCCATATCTGGTATTGCTTTTTCTCTTTCGCATTTCTGTATACGTTCATCTGCAGGTATAAGCTTTTTGGTACCACTGTGACTTTTTAACCGACTTAACCCTTTTTCTCCTTACTCTTCTAATGTTTCTTGCTTGTGATATTAGAATGGTGAAGTTCCTTTCATGTACATTCTACATTTCCCGGCACATTCATATATATGCAAGCATAAGTATCAGTAGCCTTGAATTTTAGGACCTTCTGCTATGTCTCCTCTTTTGCTTAAAGGATAATGACTTGGGCAGTAGCCTTGGATTTTCTTGAAATATCTTGTGATGTATTTAAAAAGTATTGAAAAAAAGACTAGACTAGAAACTGAAGATATTTTTTATTCTCATCCTCAGAGTACTGGAAAAACCACGGAGTTCATGATGATGTGATGTAGTCATGTTGATGGAAGAATATGCTGTGGGAATTGTCTAGTAGTCTATCTATCAGTATCCTATGGTATTTACTTGTGGTGATTTGTAAGGTCGTGCAAAAATGTTATGGAACTTAAGGAAGAATCTTATTGTAATCATCAAACTAGGCATCAATTGTGGCAGATAGAAGGTGTTTGGCACATGTTTGTTTTATTTGAAACAATAAGATTTAATTGTGGCAGATAGAAAGTGTTTGGCACATGTTTGTTCTATTTGAAATGTTGATATTTGAAACATGGCTAAGGCAATGCCATGAAGAAATTTATGGAGGAAAATCAAAGTTAGCAGCTGAGTACTCAAAGCTGTTGACTGCTTGAGATAAGGAGTGCTCGTTTTACGAGCAGGATAGAGAGGCTTTGATGGATTTTGGCGATGAAGTGCATGATAGAGCAATGCAGGCTGATGAGAAGTCAGCTGCTAGAGGAGTTGCAGTCGGTAAATTGATTTTTCCTTTTTCCAGTTCTTGTTAATTATATGTCCATTGCATATGGTTGGAAGAGTCATTGTTGACAATTCTCCTGGCATAATGCTAATAATGGACTAGATCAAAATGGCTCAATCAAATTCTAGTGCTTCTTCTATTAGTGAAGTTTCTATAAAAAAATATATCAAACGACGCAACGCACCTTGGGTCGCTATGGAAACAGCCTCCTTGTATAATTACAAGGGTAAGGTCTGCGTACAACTGAACCCCCAGACCCCAATCTGTTGGGAATATACTGGGTATGTTGATTGATGACCAGTTCTTGTTAATCAAATGTTTTGTTAAGTTTTTTTCCCAATATTTTATATGAAATTAGTGATGTTTAAAACATTAGGTGGTTTTCTTATTCTTCATTTGATTGGTAAATACTTCATAGAGCCCAATTGAGATTAAGAAAACCACCTAATCTTCTAAACATCACTAATTTACTAATTTCATATAGAATATTGAAAAAAAAACCTAAAAAAAACGTTTAACTAACAAGAACTGTAGAAAGGTAAAATTAATTTACCGACTGCAGCAGCTGACTTCAGTTCCTGACACCTAACCTCAGTCTGCATTGCTCTATCATGTGCTTCATAGCCAAAATCTATCAGCGCCGATTCGTAAAGCGAGCACGGTTATCCCAAACTACCAACAGTTTTTTATTTTGTACTCGGCTGCTAACTTTTGATTTTCCTCCATACCTTTCTTCTTCAAGGTCACTTTTGATTTTCCTCTATACATTTCTTCTTCAAGGTCACTTTTGATTTTCCTTTATACATTTCTTCTTCAAGGTCATGGCATTCATACATGCCTCAGCCTGTTTTTAATATCCACCTTTCATTTCAAATAGAACAAATTGTGTCAAACACCTTCTATTTGCGGCAAGGAATGTGTCGACACCTTCTATTTGCCATTTCAAAGTGTTTTTAAAAAAAAATTAGGGGGTTGAAATTCAAAATTTTCTGGCGTAATACTCACAACTTCATGAAATAAGCCTTTTACATGACTGTTGTGGCAATATTATCTCAATATCCATGTTTATTTGCTTATGTAGTGGTAGTACCATTATTATTTATTTATTCGTTGATGAATTATATGTGTCATCTAATTGTAAACGCACCCAACGCAACGGCGTCCACTCTCATGCGAGCCTCTGAAAGGGTTCATTGGTTTTGTTTTATTTTACTAATAAAGTGTACGTGCAATTTACTTAAACCTTAATAATTTGACAATTTCGTTAGAAGTTGTTAGTTACTGATACAGATTAATTTAGTGCATTGTTCTGTAAGATTAGAACTTTGTATTATATGAGTGCTGTTATACAGAAAACATTATGAACCCAAAAAACTCACCACAACAAGTATATTTGACTGATGTAATCGAAGGTTATTTGCTTACTTGATATCTCTGGTGAGTTTCTATACAGAATAAAGATACTGGGTTCTTATTGGGGCTAATCTAGTACAATGAACCGAATGTGAAGTTATTTAAGCAGAAAGAAAGAGCTGTGTACGTACTTATTCTCATAGCTCATTAAGAATGAGAGGGTTAAATAATAATATGCACCATAAGATAAAGTTCGATTTGTTAGCTCGAGTATGTGTAATCCGGTTGGTGGGAAGTTTTATAGCTCGGGTTCGGTTGGACTCACCAACCGCATGTAAGAATATGTGGCCCGAAAGTATTGGGCTTACAATTAATTATCCTATTGGGCTAGGCCTTTATTTAATAGTCCAACAAATCTAAGTCATTAATCTGGATATTTGATGGACGTACCAGATCTAAAGACACCCATATATAAATTAGTCCTCTCTCCTCCTATTAAGGTACGCAGTCATAATCCCATCACTTTTCTGCTACGTTAAGATTGGACAGGAGGGAGAAACTAATTTAATTTTAACAATCAATCAAGCCTCTTGTGATCATCAAGATCAAGATCACTAATTATGTCGTCTTCCGCATCAAGTAAGTATTTCGTATACACCAAATTATTTATTCAAGATCCTTGATGAAGTTTACATGTGGTATCAGAGCATGTGTTGTGAATATGTAATTTTGGTTATGTACGGTAATGAAACCTATAAGGATTTATAGATCTATTTTGATCTGTTAATTATGATATCTGATGATGAATGTTCTGGCTAATAGTATTGAATGTTTAATATATGTTATCGCATCAATTTATGTCGCCGTATATAATTGTTGATACGTGCATAAAGACATGAGGTGGGGGCGATAATTAGTTTTATTGTTTTTGTTGCTTTGCAAAATTTTATTGGAATTATGATACTCCTTTTGCTGCTTTATGATGAGTATGATTTTGATTTCATGATAAATTGATGAGGCTGTAAGTAATTGTACAATTATCCATGTATGATTGAATTGTGTTCTGAATTCTAAATTCACATATGCGCCATGAAATAAACAATTGTTAATTTTGTGGCAAGAAGGGATTGAAGGATTTATTTCCTTTCATGAAGTTGTGAATAATTGAAATTTGTGTATTTTGGATGATGATGATTGAGTTGACAAACTCCCATTATGTTTATGAGTTTCAAGGGTTAGTTTGTTAACATTATGATTATTTGTTATTATACATTAAGATAAAATTAATTTATTAGTCACCAAAGTGGCCTAATTAATTTTAATGTTCAGTCATATAATTTTTTATCATGATAATGGTTTGTTATATGACATTAAAGTAAAATTAATTTGTTAGTCACCAAAGTGGCCTAATTAATTTTTAATGTTCGGTCATATAATTTATCGTTATGAAGTTTTATATATGACATTAAGATAAAATTAATTTGTTAGTCACCAAAGTGGCCTAATTAATTTTTTAATGCCCGGTCATATAATATTATTGTTACAATTAATTGTTATATGACATTAAGATAAAATCAATTTGTTAGTCACCAAAGTGGCCGGATTGATTTTCTAATGTTTGGTCATATAACTTATGTTTCTCGAGAATGTCATTATTTAAGATAATGAGTTTATTGGTTGTTAGAAATTATGGATTTACCCAAAGGTGAATCAACGTTCTATAACTAATAAACATTAAGGAGAAATATAATATCTTTTATCGAGCGTATGTGGATATCCAAAGATACTATGTATGTTAGACGAAGTTTATTTAATTTCTCATTAAGTGTTAAATGACATTCGACTTATGGTAATGATATATATTGTTGTGTTTACCCAAAGGAGACCTGCAATATATTTTATGAATGATTTTCTGAATCTATTGATTAAGTGAGCTTTTATGATTGTGCAGCTATCTCTCTTCATTCGCAAGCTTCTTCTGTTACTGTCTTCAATGGTTTGAATTTCTCTGAATGGCGTGAGCAAGTCAATTTCCATTTAGGTGTTTTGGATATTGACTTGGCTCTGCTTGAAGAAAAGTCTGCTGAGATTAATGATCAAAGCAGTGAGGCTGAGAAATCAAACAGTAAGGCT